GGAAGGCATCTATCAGGGTGTTTGGGTTTGCGCCGCCCCCCCTCCCCCTGCTTCTGTCTGACACTTTTTTTCTGGGCTTTTGTAAACAGGTTAACTTGTGGGCCCTGTAAGCATATGGTTTCATGACACACTGAAAATGATCTCACTCTCATGCCTGCTGACAGAATGCATAACTTACCCTGTCGGTCAGCACTGGGACTGGGGACCCCTGAAGAATGCCTTGTATTCCAAGCAGACAGCCCCTAGCTCTAGGATGTTTCTGGGGAAGTAAGTATCCTAAACGGATCCCAGGCCCTACCTGCCTGGTAGGTAGAGATGTGGAGTATCTTTTCCATCAATTTACCTAGGAAAGGACTTCTTGTGATACCATAACCATTCTGTTTATACAGCATCTGCTAAGTGGACACATTCATTTCAGCTATCTTGTACAAAGCATAGGTAAAATCTGGCATGTTTTATCACAGAAATACATAAAAGCATGAATCCTAAAATCTAAGACGTTTTGAACTGATATTCCTGAGTAGGTTTGAAATTGTTAATGAATTCTATTATTGTCTAGAATCTCTTTTTTGAGAGGTAAGGTCTTGCCAATCTAAAATTTAAGTGTGGTCATATAAGCCTTATGCTTGAAGTCAAAATTATTGTGAATATTTGTTAACTCTTGAGATCACTTTATTCAGACAGTTTTCTAAACCTTTGTTTTAGTAGATCTCAGGAGTTAACAGAGGGTTAGAAGGGACCTCAGGAGGCCATCTAATCCAACCCCCTGCTCAAAGCAGGATTGTCCATCTAAACTATCCAGTCAAGTAAATCTCTATCATGTCTTAAAAACTTCCAAAGATGAAAATTCCACAACCTCCACAGATAGCCTGTTCTAGTGCTTAACCACCCTCATAGTGAGAAAGTTCTTCCTAATATCCAACCTAAATTTTCTTGCTGCAATTTAATAACTTTGCTCCTTGTCCTATCCCCTGCACCATAAAGAATAGTCTATCTCCATCCTCCGTACAAACACCTGCAGGTACTTAATAAGTGTTATCCAATCCTCCCTCAGTCTTCCCTTCTCCAGACTAAACAATCCTAATTCTCACCGCCTTCCTTCATAAGTCATATTTCCCAGGCCTCTAATCATTTTTGTTACTCTCCATTGGACTCCTTTTAATTTGTCTATATCTTTCTTGAAGTGTGGAGCACAAAAATGGATGCAGTACTCCAGCTGTGACCTCACCAGTGCTGAATAGATTTGATTTGCAAGTGACATTCCTGTTAATACAATCCAGTATGCTATTAGCTTTTTTGCAACAAGACGACCCTGTTGGTCATATTCAGCTTGTGGTCTACTGTGACCTCAAGGTCTTTTTCTGCAGTACTACAGCCTAGCCAGTCCTTCCCCAATCTGTATTTGTGAATGTGATTGTTCTGTCCCAAGTGCAGGACTTCGCACTTGTTCTTGTTGAATTTCATTCTGATAGATTTTTTAACCCTTTTTTCCAGTTTAATCAAAGTCATTCTGAATCTTAGCCCTACCCTCCAGATTTTCTGAAACTCCTCCCAATTTAGAGTCATCAGAAAAATTGCTAAGAATGCATTCAGTCCCATCCTCCAAACTGTTAGTGAAGATATCAGGCCCAAGACAGACCACCCCCTTAAAGGGCCCTACTTAATACCTCCTCCCAAACAGACATTGAGCCACTGATGACCGCTTATTGAGCATAATGATCCAACCAGTTGTGAGTCGGCCTTAAAATGTTTTCATCTAGTCCAGTGACTCCCAACCTTTCTTTGCTACAACCTTAAATCCGGGTCGCAACCCCTGCCGTCGACTCGCTCATGCCCGGCAGCACCAGCAGAGCCCAGGCCAGGCCGGGATTACAGGGGGCAGCAGCAGTGAGAGCCGAGTGGACCATGTGCCAGGCGAGCCCCACAGACAGGAGGGGCAAAACGAGGGGCAAACCCTCCGCGACCCTGACTTGGGTCGTGCCCTGAGGTTGGGAGCCACTAATCTAGTCTATAATTCTTTAGCTTACTAGTGAAAATGAAAAGCCTTGCTGAAATCAAGATGGATCACATCCACTGCTCCACCCTCCCATCCACAGAGCCTGTCACCTTGCCTTAGAAGGAAGGCTAAATCGTAGAATCATAAAAAAATAATGCTGGGACCTTAGGAGGTCATCTAGTCCAACCCCCTGCTCAAAGCAGAACCATCCCCAACTTAGATCATCCCAGGCAAGGCTTTGTCTAGCCAGGTCTCAAAAACCTCCAAGGATAGATAGTCCACTACCTCTCTGGGTAACCTGTTCCAATGTTTTACTACCCTCCTAGTGAGAAAAATCTTCCTAACATCTAACCTAAACTTCCCTTGCTGCAACATGAAACCATTGCTTCTTGTTCTGTCATCTGCCACTACTGAGAACAGTCTAACTCCATCCTCTTTGAAAACCCCCTTCACATAGTTGAAGGCTGCTATTAAATTCCCTTTCAGTCTCCTCTTCTCTAAACTAAATAAGCCCAGTTCCCCCAGCCTGTCCTCATAAATTATGTACCCCAGCCCCTTCACCATTTTCATTGCCCTCCGCTGGACTCTCTCCAATTTGTCCACATCCTTTCTGTAGTGGGGGGCCCAAAACTGAACAGTACTCCAGATGTGGCCTCACCAGTGATGAATAGAGGGAAAGAATCACTTCCCTTGACCTGCTGGCAACAATCCTACTGATGCAGTCCAGTATGCAATTAGCCTTCTTGGTAACAAGAGTATACTGTTGGCTCATATTCAGTTTACTGTCCGCTGTCACCTCCAGGTTCTTTCTGCAGAGCTACTGCCCATCCAGTCAGCCCCCAGCCTGTACTGGTTCATGGGATTGTTCTGTCCTGAGCACAGGATTTTTGCACTTGTCCTTGTTGAATCTCATGACCCAATCCTCCATTTTGTCTAGGTCACTCTGAATCCTAGCCCTACTCCCCAGCATATCTACTACTCCCCCCCAGCTTGGCTAAAGCCTCCATTTTCAATGTATAAACAGCAGATGAAAGTGTTGGGATGTCCATCATCAAAGATGGGCTTTCAACCCTCTTTTTCTTTCAGAAAGTAGTAGAAATAAAAGTCCTACCGCAGAACTTCAAGGGGCTGTCATTCTGTACTATAAGCATAAAAGGGAACCCTGCCTCTTGTTTTGGTTTCTTAAGAACAAGGATCCTGATTTTCTCTAATAAAAAAAAATCCCCAATTTTGGGTTTTAAAAAAGTAACCTAAAATCTACATTTTCTATGATGAAAATGAAACACCACTCTCTCTCTCTCTCTCTCTCTCTCTCTCTCTCTCTCTATATATATATATCATCCTTGTCCCAGTGACTATCATCCCAGTATCCACCATATATATATGGTGTTTCATTTTAATCTTGGAAAAATGTAGACTTTGGGTTACTTTTTTTAAACCAAAAATTGGGGATTTTTTTTTATCAGAGAAAACCAGGATCCTCTGCTTATGAGAAGTGTTCCTGAACAGAGATGGAAAAGACAGAGGAATGTCAGGGGCACTGTATAGGATTCCAGTGCCACATTAGTCACTACCAAGGTAGCAGATCATTTTTTTATCACATAGGTGATTAAAACTGAAGTAGAAGATACCAAGGTCATAATCACAAAGGAATTCAATATCAATGCTCAAGGTACTGGTACTATGATCAGTATTTAAGGGGCTGGTACCAAGAGTGGCATGGCCTGCTAATAAGAGAGTATTATATGTAGAATCAGGGTATTAGAATGAACCCTTCCTAAAGGCTTATGGCCTTTAAATATACGTACAGAGAACAAGTTATATAGCTGACGGCCCTTTTGCCCCTTGCCACGGTTAAAGGACCTGTCACTGGTCTCATCTTTGTAGTTATGTTCCTTTCTGCTCTGTCAGACTTTCACGTCAATGTTGTGGTGGATGAAAGAAACCCAGGAGTTTAGAGCCGCCCAGCTGACTAAGAAGAGACCCTGACTCAGTGCCCTGGAACCTGGTTGTTGCTCTCTAATTGGAGTCTAAGGAGGTTTGCATTATTTCACAGAAAAGTTTCAGCCTTCCTTCCCTGACAGTAAAGATAGTCTTCAAGAAAGAGTGACAGATCTAGTACAGACAAAGACAAGGTATGTTCTTGGAGTACCTGTCATTAATGGGCATTGAAGCATCACATTGGGAATAAATATTAAATCCCAGTAACATAGCTTCTGCCATAATTCTAGAATTTCTATACAGCGGGTTATCTCATATGTATATGTATTTTGACAATGGGCATAACAAGAGAGAAATTACTCTGAGTACACTTACCATATTCTTATCTATATAGCTAAATAAATCACACAGTGCATACAGTGGTCAGATAACATATGAGTTCCATCTTGCTACCACAGGTTATAAGGAGCTGACAGTCATTGAACCTATTCTTTATGTTCTCAAGTTGGAGATCTCAAAGACACTTAAGATACAGACCTTGCTTAAAGGATCCTGCTAAAATGAGCTCAGTATATTCCAAATGAGCACTGATTCACTGTACAAAAATTGTGCATATACTTTAAAACACTGTGCTTTGGGCGAGCCAGCTGGAAAAATGGATAACCCATAGGTTGCGTTCAAAAACTGAAATCACCCATATTACACACAAACTTATCTGTCTTGGATAAATAACAAAATCTAAATTGCATTAAAATAAGTTATTGGGAACAGGGAGTTGTATATTTTTCTTTATATCTGTATATCCCCATTTTATTATCTGTTTGTATGGTGAATTAAAATCTCCATATAGATTCAATCTCACGAGAGACTGACCATGTCTACACAAGACACTTTACTGTGCAGTAGACTCATTTACTGTGCAGTAAAGCATCACCATCTACATGTGAAGGCACTAAGCGCACAATAAATGAGTCTACTGCACAGTAAATTTACTACCTGAGCACAAGTAGTACATTTACTGCACAGTAAAGTCAAACAGCATTAATTGCACATGCAGACGTACCCAACGTATGTTAAATTCTGAAGTTCATTGGTTTCATTATTTCTCAAATAGGCTGGTGAGAAAAAAAAAACTTTATTTCAGCAATCAGAATCATATATGTTACAGTGACATGGTCCAATGAAAGATATCACCATAAAAGCCTTGCCTTTTGCCTATTTCTTGGACCATCACAACCACAACACTCCAACTCTGCTACAGCAACATTTGCCCATCTATCATACTCCCCAATGCAGAACTATTTCCTAAAATATATTTTCTAGTATGTGTCCCAGTCTAATTTTCACTATCTCATGTAGTGCATTTATCACTTTAAGATATTATTAGGCCTTGCTGTTAGAATGGGAGAACAGTCTGAAGTAACATTTTCTGAATTCTACCCCTTTGCTTCATATTATATATTATTGTCAATCTACATAATTTCATATTGTTCAAATGTACATGTACATTATTATGCCTGCTTAACCACTTACCCAAAATACATATTTATTTTTTCTAACAGATCAAGCCCCATAACTGAACATAGCACTCTAGCTGTCTCAACTTTAGTGAGATCTGGATTATAATCCAAAACGCACAACATTGAATCATCATGCTAATAAATCTTAGCCTAATCTTCAGTAAATATTTTTTCTAGATAGTAACGTCAACAGGAAAAGATATTTTAAAAGTTGTTCAAGAAGAAAAAATGAATAATATTAAAATATAGTTTTTGTTTGTATTTTCAAATAAATATATAAGATATTCATTGCAAATATTCTTAAATTAATAAAAATGTTCAAGAGCAAGTTCTGTTAGCTTAAGAACTGCACAGTAAAGAACTATACAGTAACTTAACCTCTAGATAAATTGGTTATGGTAACAAAGGAAGTATATTTAACACACCTGAATTTTTCTCAATTTGTTCAACTCATTATTTCACAATTTAACTGAATTACTCAAGAGACACCTAAGGCCACAACTACAATGATATTCCAAACTTTGGCCCCATGGGCCAGATCAGTGACATGGGGTTGATCCGCAAGATGGATCCCATGCAGAGCTGGTAGATGGGGTCAGTCTATAAGTGCAAGCCAGCATACAGGGATCCAAGTGCATACCAGACTGTCCCTGCACACCCAAATGTGGCCACATGTTGAACCAAACCTACATGCTTGGATCTGGCCACACCCTGGATGTTATCCAGCCTGCAGGTTTCCCCACAGGTATGGAAATTTGGAAGAAACAGAGCAGCGATTAACACCGCCACTGATCCCTGTCTACCATGGTTCAAGACCATTGGGGAGCCCTGTGGGCTGGATGACAGCTCTAAAGGCCAAATCTGGCCAGTAGACCAGGGGTTGAGCACCCCTGTTCTAAGCTACTACAACTACTCCTTCATTTCCATGAGTACTCATGCACTCTGTTTTTAAGAAATCTTATTAAAACATTATATTCATTTCTTTTATAAAAGTATCGGTTCTATCTTCTACGTTGTCATATATTTCTGCAAAATCATAGTTGAGCATCACTGGTTCTCTTTTCTCTTTGCATTTATTAACATAAAAGTGTACTGCTAGGGTAAGTGGGTGATTATCATCCTTGTCCCAGGATCCAGTCGAAATTTCAACATGCAGTGTATTTAATTTATAGGAAACAAGATTAAAATGTGCACTCAGCTATTGCTGGCAAATACAGACTTCCAAAACCAAATATATCAAATTGACTATATTTCCCCTAAGCAGCTTTTGATTACAAACATTTTAAATCTTCAGTGGGCCATTCCCAGAGATACCTTTTCCTATACTAGCTCTCAACTGGATGAAGAAACTTCCTCCAGTTGAAAAATAGCTAAAATTGCAGTAAAGACAAGGGAAAGTTGAATGTCCACAGTTTCTGCCATCATGGACCAAACATAAGAACAAATATTCCACTTCATACATTTTAGTTAAAACACCCACTATAATGACTGCTTTTATCTTTAGAATACAAGACCATAAACCTGTATGTTTTTACTATTTCTCATAGTAAAAAAGATCATTCGAAAATATTATCATTTTCCCTCCAGAATAAATTTTGCTGCCTAAAAGTGTAAGTAGGTATGCTACTCTATACTCTGAATAGACAATTTAGGCAAATGCTAATCTTTTTAATAGTCCTGCTCTTATTCTCTTATGTCCCTTACTTTCATACATGAACTCAAGCATATAGGTTCAATGAAAATGTGTGATTCTGGGTAGAAACAAGAGCATGGGCATTGATAACTATACATATTTTTAATGTACAGATTTCCCTCATTTTCTGCGGGTTCTGCATGTGCAAATTTGCTCTTATGCGATTATCTTTTTATACCAAAAATTCGTTATATGCGAGGTAAATTCACTCTTATGCAATCAGTATGGTGGAAGCACACTGTTAGCTGGTTTGTGCAATGTGTTGTGGGAGTGATGCGCACCAAAATATAGTCTCCTGTGTGGATCTGTGCTCCTCACTCGTTGTCTGCGGCACGTGTTTCTGTAGTTGCCATCCCCATTATGGTAACATTCACCACCACACTGTGCTTGTGTGTACTGTCTCCTGTTGGTGAGTACCAAAATTGTCTTGTAAAAGTGGTAGAAATGGGTCTGGGGGGGTCAGTACAGTCGAGGTCTTGGAACGTATCCCTATTTGTTACATTGTAAAGTGGATTCCCTTTACGTGAATTCAAGTTATGCACCGTTTTCCAGGAACACATGCGCAGCAAAAAGCGAGGGAAACCTTTAGTATGTATGTGAAGAAAAATGAAAAACCTTAGAAATCTTGAACAGAAATCTGAACTAGATTTTTGGGGGGGAATTACTGACCAATTTCATCTACGGACTGTTTTATCAGAGCATAGAAACTGTACATAGATTTTATTACTAACTGCCTTTACTCACCATAACAAAAATCCTGTCTGTTACTCTTAACTACAAAGAGTAAAAAGAATCACTCGTGTTTTTATTTAGGAATCACAGACTTGCTGAGGTATTTTATCAATTAAGAAGAAAATTGTTGTTAGGCCAATGTGACTTAAGGGGAGTTAAATGTATTTTGGGGACAGAATATTTCCCAGTAGGATCAGCTAAACTACACATACCTGAAGTGAATGCATTAGACAGGATTAGAAGCCAGGATAAATGCACTGATAACAATGAAGCATCTTCACTTGCTGCAGATAGTGGTAGAGCAAGCAGTACAAAATACAGTAACAGAGTAATCTGCAGGACCATGTAGTGTTTTCTTCTTGTAGTCTGTGATCTGTAAATAAAAATTATACATGCATTAACTTCATGTGCAATCAAAGTATAATAGAATGAATAAAGGTATATACAACAAAATGTAAGAAAAAGTTCTACTGGAAAAAAGGGAATACCTTCTTTTTTGTTGATGCAAATCGAGATGAAAACTGTACATTTTAATCATACTCCAGAAATTATTTTTTAAAGAAGGAGCTTCTCTTTACATTTTGTTGTTTATTTTGAATTAGATGGACTAGAAGGAGGAGCAGGGAAAAGTTGGATAGAAGAGCAGCCTGTTGCCAGACAGGTTGCATTGAGAGGTAGGGGTCATGAAGAAAAATAGTGATAGTTATTCTCTTCTTCCAGAAAACGATTCCTAGAGTTGTTACAATCACTATACTCTTCTTCCAGACTGCTTTTCCAAAAGGATCTTTCGCACACGTTGTTATGTCGCTTCTATTTTCCACACGAGTTCCACCAACCCAAGATCTAATGAGCCACGGTATACCTTTTAAACACATATACCAATACCTTTTGAGACGCAAGACACCCATCCAAAACTTCTCAGAATTTAGTGACACCCCATTTTAAAAATATATTACATTATAATGTGAATATTATTATTATACTATTAATTAATGCTATTAATTATATACATACAATTAAATACACCCCTTCAGGCGGCTGGCGAGGAGTGCTCCCCAAACTCTGCTTTGCCCACCATGTCTGCTCCCAGCACAACAGTGGGGTCCCCACAGATGGCTCCAGGTCACTGCTGGGGAGTGGCAACCACTGGGGCAAGTTCTTCTCATAGTTATCTAAGGCAAACCATCCTGAACTCCAGCCTTGGGGCCCTAACAGACACCCTAGACACCCAGGTGGCAGGAGCAAGATGCTGGGCTACGCCTGCAGCACCTGGGAAGTATTGAGGAGGTAGGAAGAGTAGGGGGTGGGACAAAGGACGCAAGGCCTGGGAGAGGGGAGACAGCAGGTCAAGAGGTGCTGTGGCACAGTTACTGCCGCAGCCGCCATAGGACACAACTGTGCCATGTGCTTTGGTTTTCAGGAGGCATGCAGGAACCAAACTGATAAGCGACTGCAGCAGAGAGGCACACCTTCCTGCATTACATTGTGCAGGCATGCACACTCCTGCTCCTGCAGCTCTTCCTAGTTTGACTTTGACATGCGTGTAGGAACCTGAGTTGTATGGGGCAGTTTCTCCCCACAGTGGCAGTACTGGCATCGTGGCACCCCTGGCAGATTCGCGTAACCCCCTGCTTGAGAACCACTGATATATCCATTCTGCTGGAGCCTGTTTTGATTCTGCCAACATTTCTTGCTGGTTTTCAGTTTACTGTTTTTAGTGTTTAAATATGTAATTTAGAAATTTCTTTTTTTAGGTTTTTCAGCATCGATTTCACTTTCCTTATCATAGAATCACAGATATATAGTGCTGGAAGGGATTTCAAATTATCTTTCAGATCAAGATTCAGCAACTTCTGACCCATGGGCCGGAAAAGGTCCAGTCTGGCCTGTGAAGTTCCAATCCTGTTGTTCCACTGCCTCTGCACCTCCCTTGCTACAGCAAGGGAGAGTGTAGCCAACTAGCCATTCCAGGGGGAAGAGACTTCTAGCTCTCAGCCATGGCTGGGTCATGAGCTCCAGCCCTTACTGACAAAAGGCTTGTTCTAGTCTAGACCATCCCCTGCACTGAGGCAAGATCAAGTATACCTAGACCATCCCTCACAACTATTTGTCTAACCACACTTAAAACACTCCAGTGAAAGAGATTTCACGCTCTCTTCACTCCAGTGAAAGAGATTCCACAACATCCCTACCTACTGTATTCAGTGTTTCACCAAAATATCTAACCTAAATCTTCTTTGCAGCAAATTAAGCTGATTTCTTACTGTCTTGCCCCTGTGAACAACTGATTTGTCCTCTTTACAACAACTTTTTATCTCTCCCCTTAGTCTTCTCTTTCCCAGATCAAACACAGTTCCTTCAACCTTTCCTCGTAGGTCATGTTTTTAAGCCTCTCATTCTTGTTGTCATCTGGACTCATCCTTTTTTATGACCAAACCGTATTTTTTCTTGGCCTTTACTTTGTTCAGTACAGATATGTAACAACTTAACTTTGTCATTTACTAACTTACTTTAATCATTTTACAAATGTGTTCATTTGCTTCATTTTTTAAAATTAGAATATTTAAATTCTATATTAAATGTAGTGGTATTCTGTGGCTTATTACATACAATAGATCTACATTCTTGAAACAACAAAGAATATTTTTTCCATTTCCATATTCACATCCATGGGTATATTAACAGAACATATTTACTTTTCTCTAAGTATAGAACATTTAACAATTTTTCTTCTAAGTGTTTTTCTTGCCTCCCTGAACACTGAACAGTCATTTTTTGGCTCCCTTTTATTAATAGCACTTTGGATCTTCCAAAGCACTTTATAAATACAACCTCATAAAAACACTTGCAATGGCAGCCAGGAACCACTGTTATCACATCTACTACTGATGAGGAAACTAAGGTGCAGAGTGATTCTGAATTTGTCTATACCATAGTAGCAGCATGCCCCAGACAGAACATTCCCAAGTGTGTCCTGCTTGCACACTGGTAATGTTCCAACAAGGCTGATCCTGGAATCCTCAAAAGCCACTATCAAACATGACTGAGATGGTGGTCTTGAAAGCAGCCACAGAGGGACAACTTCAGAGCAGCCTCACCACCCTGTTTCTGGGTTTGCAGCATGGGGCATTATCAGGAATATCCCAGTTAGTGCACAAGCCTACATAGTTTATGCAGTTATCCAGAAAGTCCATACCAGGACCAAGTATAGAACCCAGACTTCCTCACTAGAAATCTCATGCTTGAATTACAATTCCTGTGCACATGCACAGGTCTGAACTGATTTTAATTAGAGTTAATGAAAAATTTTTCAAGGGTAGCAAGACATCCCTATAATTCGTATTGCCAAATCATTGAGGAGGTGACAGCATTTCATAGTTATAAAAATACTAGACTAACATTAATGCTTTCTTATGCTGAACCCTTCATTTGTTACTGTCTGATAAAAAGGGAACTGTGGATGAGATACGTTAGTCCATACATTCAGTATCCCTCCATTGCTGTAGCCAACAGACAAAACATGAATAGGCTTAGCTCCATACATTCATGTCTTTCCATAATGTAACATACTAATTTTTTTTCAACCATTTTATTAGTCTGTATTTTTTCTGCTAATTAGAAAGTTTAAGAATTAAACAAAAAATGCTCGAACTATTGTGCAATGATGCCTATCCTGTTTTAAGGACTAAGGGCCAAATTAGGATACCCTTATTCCTTAGGTCATTGATTTAAAGGAGAATACCTGGTGCAGGCAAGGCAATCATCCACTACAAAGGGGAAAAAAAGGAAGGTTTGACTCAAAACCTTACCCCTTGTCTCTACTGCCTAAGATGAAATAATTGTGTGTTCCCAAGTGATTCTTAGCTTTACTGAAAAAGATGTGGCACATTAAAGGTCAGAGCATGCTCCAGAGTCTTCTCAGATCATTATAATATAATCACAAGTTGATAAGTATTTTCCAACTCGTGCATTATTTTAAATAGGAGCTTTGTTCAACTAAAGACAGAAGTATTTTGCACCATATAAGAAAAGTCTGAACAAAGGATTCAAGATAATAAGATGCCAAGAACTGAACCAAATGTTACAGTGGTGGTCTTCCTTGATATTTGTTTCAGATTCCTGTGTTAAAAGTAGTCTTCTCTATTTTTACATGATCTCTTAAGCAAAGATGGTTTCCCCCAAGAATCAACAAATTATTTCCTGCAAATACCATAAAAACTTCCAGTAAACATAAACTAATGTGACGGTGACTTCTATGTATCTCAAGTGTCTGATCAAATCTTCTGAGACCTCCATTGCTTAATCCACTACAACACAAATTAGGGGAGCAGTCATAGGAGTCTTCAAACTCCACATTTCACATAACATGCTGAGCACTGGTTTAAAACTACACCTAGTCCAGATTTTCTGCCTCTCAGCACCTCTTCATTTACACAGATCATGCAACTCTACCCACAATTATGTACAGAAACATTTTCTAATAAGTGGCTTCTGCAGTTTGGTTTTGCTTTCTAATAGTCATAAATACAATCTATTCACGGGCTAGTTGCATAATGTCATCTTAAAATCTGCTAGTTCTAGCTAAAATAATCAACAGGGATCCTGGTTTTCTCTGATTTAAAAAAATCACTAATTTTCAGTTTAAAAAAGGTAACCCCAAATCCACATTTTCCCAAATGAAACACCACTCTATAGATATGTATATCCACAGAAAAATGTGGATTTGGGGTTTCTTTTTTAACTGAAAATTGGGTTGTTTTTTTTAATCAGAGAAAACCAGGATCCCTGCTAATCAATGTATCCATCTATAAATTATTCAAACACCATGGTATCTAGCTGCAGTCCTTTCCTTAATGCTGCCTTGTTTTTCTTTAAGTACATACTGTACTGGCTGGATTCTTGTTAGCAATTAAGACCTGTCATTCATATCAATACATATAGGACCTGATCCAATGCCAATTAAGTCAGTGAGAGTTTGTGTTTATTTCAGTAGGCAATGAATCAAGCCCTTAATTCCATTTCTATGTAAAATAAGAAACCTCTATGCTGTTGGCAGTCTATCACACTCAACCTGTTCAACTGTCCTATGTTTCTTTATCTAAAAAAATATATATTCTTTAATAGATAGAAGATTTAGAAATACAGTTTCCTAATTAATATCTTCAGGTCTCTGATATGCTAAAGTGTTTTCTAATGGAAAGTCCTGCTTCATACTCTAGCAGCTTGCTTTATTCTTATCTTCATTGTCTGCAATAACTCCTATTTTTTTATAACCTCTTCCCCTGCAACTTAAGAAATGATTATTTTTTCCCAAAACAGGAACTACAGTGTATTGACATTTTCAAGCAAGTTTAGAGTAACCAGACCAATATC